GCAACGGAAAACCCGGTAGGGCCGGGAACTAGCTAATGAGAGCGCAAGGTTCGCAGTCATCCCCGCGAGATGCTGGATCTCATTGGCTCATTCCGGCTCACCAGGTTTTCCGGCACACAGGGAAGGATGTTACCGTCGAAAGTCTGAATTTTCAAAAGGGCTTCTGATCTTTGTCTCCCTCTCAAGATCCACTACCCTTACTAGCTACAATAAGACAAGTGAGCAATATGTTTGTAGGATATGATACTGAGATAACTACGCTTAGAATAAGATAGAAGACTGTAAATCGACGCACCGTCCTGCAAGGGAGAAATCCCTCTGAGCCGGAACCGGCCAGTTGGCTCACCTAAATCATAGTCTCTGCCCAGAATTCGCTAGCCGATTTGCCGGTTCCGGCACACAGGGGTTTCCCTCATGTTGGGATGCACGTCACCGTACTTCTACTCGAGCCTTCATGTATAACTTTCCCGATAGAAGCAAAGTAAGTATCTATATAAGGCAGATTTGGTTTCTTCCAAGACCCATTATACCGTGCGTTAACTCAAGGGCTTCTGTTATTTTGGAGGTATAAGTAGTATTGTAAGTTGGGGCAGCATCCGAGCATCCTTCGTAGGAGTAACAATTTTTTAGCATTTATTTCATACAGCTATGGCGAGAACGGAGCCTGTTCAGATAACAGTAGTCGGTTCTGGTACAATCGGCCTTTCTTTTGCCGCTTTCTATACCGTCTCGCACCGTTACTACACGATCACGATCTATAATACTCGACGCAAGCCCGACTCGTACACCAACTCTAAGTTATTGGCATTGCTACCTTTAGACCACCCAACACCTGCAATCAGGTACGCGAGTACACTTCAAGAAGCCGTTCAAAATGCCTCCATAATTCAAGAATGTGGCCCAGAAAATCTGCTTTTCAAGCAGAGCCTATGGTCCGAAATCGAGCGCTTTGCTCCACAAGATGCATTACTATGGAGCAGTACATCCGGCATTCCTGCTTCTCTACAATCTCAGAGAATGCAAGATAAATCGAGGTTGTTAGTTGTGCACCCATATAACCCACCGCACATTATGCCTCTTCTTGAGCTCGTCCCTTCGGCGGAAACATGTGAAGATGTAATTCAACGCACGAAACAGTTCTGGGTAGAAAACGGACGAGTACCAGTACATATCAAAAGGGAGATAACAGGATTTGTCGCGAATCGGCTTGCCTTTGCTTTACTTCGTGAAGCAATTCATCTCGTTCATCAAGGAATTGTAAGTGTCGAGGAGGTCGACAACATTGTGGAGATGAGTATGGGCCCCAGATGGGCTGTTGCTGGGCCATTCAAGAGTTACCATGCTGGAGGTGGGGAAGGAGGATTAGAAGGATTCTTTAGGAATATTGGCGGGACGGTACAGGCATGTTGGGAGGATGGGGGAAGGATCAGTGTTGGTGGAGAGTGGGAAAAAATAGTCTTCGAGCAGGCGAAGGAGATATATGGGGTCATTGATATTGAGGAGAGGGATCGGATTACAAGTAAGGTACTGGAGGCCGTAAGAGGAGAATGCACAAGTCAAAGCAGCTGCTACGATTGTGGAAACATGTAATCGCAGAAGTACCATATAACTAACAGCATGCTTCCGCGCATTTGAATTCACGCCGAACTTTATGGTTTGATCTCTTCATCTCACTTCTCGTATATAGAGTGTTATTTCCTATCATTCACATACTCTTCCGTACAATCGCGTTGCGCCATTGTTCCGTCCTCATACCTTAAACCCCATCCCTTGTAACAATTGTGGAAAGAGTCTAGGAAAGATGCGTTGTAGTGGAGGGCCAGGATCTCCCAAGGCTTATCTCAAATTCACATCTGATGTTGTATGAATGAAAAGTATTGTGAAGTGTAACCTGATAGGAACAAGTTTAAATACAAAGGTATTAACTAGTTAACGTATGTCACTGTATGCCGAAAAACACGGTGTGCTAAAAATAACCAATCGGATAGCAAGGAGCGTAGAGAATTCCATGATCCTTGTGATCCAATTGGTTATTTTCGGCACACCGTGTTTTTCGGTACATAGGGACGGACGTTAGTCAGTGGGTAACCACATGACTAACTAAGTACATACTCTTATCATGTATTTCTTAATTGTATCGGCTGGAGCTCGGTTAAGGTGTCGGATCAGCATATGCGCCAAATTACCGACCGGACCACGCCGGCTTAGGTATGCAAACAGGAAGCATTCGGGCCATTACATAGTAATCTTTTGGCTGCACCCTAAAATCTCGCAACACCGTGCATATGTATAGCTGCAGGTGATCCGTCAACGCTGACAGACAATGCTGGCCTTCTCGGTTAGTTAGGGAGACGTTTGGAGGCGAGACGTTGTGGTGGTTAGCGCTATTTAGCTATAACGCGTGTCGTTGCACGCAGTGTTGACCTTTCACGAATCAAGGTATTCTTATCAGTAAACATCTGCTTTGGTTTTGTTCATCTGCTGTTGCCTAATTGTAGCATACAAGTCTGCGTACGTTGCGAAACTTCGATAGCACTGCTTATCCTTGATGTAAACAGAGCAGCGACATTGTTTATACGATAGGGTGTGAAAGTCCAGCACGTGCCAACTTTCATCACCTGTTACTTGAGTGGCTGTGTTCTCAATACCAGAAACTACTGCAATCCGTTGTCACCTTCTCTCGCTTTCATTTGCACTCCTCAAACGCCCAACTATGGACGTTACTACCAACGGCCCATCGGCACCTCGGCCTGCAGTAAGTGCTGAGGCAGAGAACGCTGCGCTGGCAACTCAAGTCCTCGAAATAGGAGCACAGAGAAAAGATGAGGCCGTTGAAACTAATGCGCACAATGACGATGTCTCTGTGGAGCCAAAGAAGGCACCCCAGGCTAACATCAGGAACTACTTCGTAAGTCGATGTTGCTACTTCTAAATTCGGTGCTGATACACATTATCTAGCGAGTGTTTTCTTTTGGAACTGCATTTGACTTTGCGCTTATTTCGTTGTGCTGCGTTACTTCAATAGGCTCAGGAGTTGCTTTCCCGCTGATGAACGTCGTTTTTGGTATGCTTTAATGATTTAAGCATCGTGGAAAGTGTCCGGTTGCTAACGTGAAACAGGCCAATTGGTGGGCTCGTTTACAAACTATTTTATTCCAGGCACAACAGTGACATCTCGACAGTTCCAAGCAGAAGTCAACGAACTCACAATTTATCTGGTGTACCTGTTTATCGCCAAGTTCTTCCTATCATACATCTCAATGGTAAGACATAAAGTCTTCACTAGTATATCCAGGCACTAACAATGGCAAAGCTCACGATTCGAATCAGCGGTCTCCGAATATCTTCTGCATTGCGACTAGCATACTTGCGAGCTTTGTTTGCGCAGCCAGTCAGCGTTATCGATACCATCAGCCCTGGAAAAGTGTCAACACGTATCACGACCTCATCCAACACGATTCAGCTCGCCATTTCACAGCACTTTGCTACGCTGTTCCAATCGCTCGCTTTCGTCATCGGAGCCTATGTCGTGGCATTCATCAAGAGTCCACTGCTTACGCTGGTTGCTTCTGCTTCGTTTCCATTCATCTTGCTGGTCTACGGTGCCCTAGTCCCACCATTCATGCGAATACACAAGATCACTGAGAATCACCATGATGATGCCTCCGCCATGGCATTTGAGGTATTCTCGTCTATCCGCATCGTTGTTGCGTTCGGTGCAGAGGCGAAGTTGTTAAGACAGCATGAGGACATGCTGGATAAGGCTGCCAAGAATGAACGAAGGGCAGTGCCTCTGATGGGTCTTATGATGTCGCCTATGATGGTTGGACAGTATGGCACTTTTGCTATTGCTTTCTGGTTTGGTATCAAGCGATATTCTGAAGGCAAAGAAGACAGCGTCGGGACTATTACCATAGTTCTATTTTCTGTCATGATGGCAGTGATGAACTTTGGCAGGGTCGTCTCTCCAATGATTGCCATCGCAAAGGCTTCGTCTGCTGCTGCCGAACTGTTCGCCACCATTGACGCACCAGTTCCCAATACTTCTGGACTGAAAGAGCCAGATATTGCTGCTGATTCCAACATCACATTCCATAATGTAGAGTTTTCCTATCCCAGCCGACCGGACGTTCCGATTCTCAAGGGCCTTGATCTCGTATTCGAAGCTGGCAAAGTCACCGCTATTGTTGGTCCATCTGGAAGTGGTGAGTATCATAGTTCAGTGTCTACTTCTGAAGCTTTATTGACATGCTATTGTGTTCTTCAGGAAAGTCTACTATTGTCAGTTTGGTGCAGCGCTGGTACGATCTTAGCGGTATGAAAATCTTAGCAGCGCCTAAACCCCAAATATTCACTTCGGCATCTGACACCGAAGCAAGTCATGAGAGGAATGTCAGAAGTAATAAGAGCGAGGAAGAGGAACCTGAGTTAGGACCAAATACATGCACGGGAAATATAAAGATTGGCAACACTGATCTAAGCCAAGTCGATCTCAAGTGGTGGCGATCTCAAATCGGTATCGTCCAACAAGAGCCCTTCCTCTTCAATGACACTATCTATAACAATGTCGCGTTCGGTCTGAGCGGCACAAGCTATGAAGACTTGCCTAAAGGAGAAAAGATGAGAATGGTGGAGGAGGCATGTCGGGAAGCCTACGCCGAAGAATTCATCACAAAGCTACCCGAAGGATACAATACTTTGGTAGGAGAAAGTGGCATCAAATTATCAGGCGGGCAACGACAGCGCATTTCCATCGCAAGGAGCATCATTAAACAGCCACCTGTGTTGATCCTGGACGAAGCAACAAGCGCCATCGACGTCAGGACTGAGCTTATTGTTCAGCAAGCACTCAGTCGCGCCTCTAAAGACAGGACAACTATTATCATTGCCCATCGCCTTTCTACCATCAGGAGAGCGGATAAGATTATTGTCTTGCGACAAGGAAGACTCATAGAGCAAGGCACACACGAAGAACTGTTGAAGGTTGATGCAGGCGTCTACTACGGCCTTGTCCTCGCACAAGATATTACTATGAAAGCCGAGCATGGTGACAACGACATGGTACTGAAAAATATCAAGAGTGCTCCTACCGAAGTTATGGAGGAGCTCACAGTGGACAGTCATTATGCCGAAACAATGAAATCAGAGTATAAGCGGCAGGGTCTTCTTCGTAGCTTTGGCCGGCTGATTTATGAGCAACGTCAGCACTCGATCCTCTACACTCTCGCTATCGTGGGCATTTTAGCAAGTGGCGCCGTCTACCCACTTCAAGCTTGGATCTTCGCCAGCGTTATCAATGTCTTCACACTCCCAATGACAGAACTTGTCAGCAAAGGTAACTTCTGGGCAGGCATGTTTGGTGTACTGGCAGCGAGTACTTTCTTATCTTACTTCTGCATGGGAGCGGCATGCCAACTTATTTCGATTACAGTCACGCTCAAGTACAGACAAGAGTATTTGAACAATCTTATCCGGAAACGCATTGCCTTCTTCGATGACCAAGGCCATAGTCCAGGGTCGCTCACAGCAAGCTTAAGTTCAGATACTACACAGATTCAGCAGTTAATGGCGACAGAAATGTCACTGGCACTCATTGCTCTTGTCAATCTCGTGGGCTGCATCATCATCTCATTCGTCTACGGCTGGAAACTTTCGCTCGTTGGTCTCTTTGCAGCTCTCCCGCTCGTTCTAGCTGCCGGCTACCTTCGCGTGCGTTTGGAGATGGAGTTTGAAAAAGCTAATGCCAAAGTGTTCGAAAACAGCAGCCAGTTCGCTGCCGAAGCTGTTGGCGCTTTTCGCACTGTACTCAGTCTTATTATGGAAGACATGGTTGGAAATCAGTATCGGGCACTGCTCGACGACCATGTTACAAAGGCTTTCTCACACGTAAAATACAGTACTATCGTCTTTGCAGCAAGTGAGAGTGTCGAGCTGGGTGTCATGGCCCTCACCTTTTGGTATGGTGGCACATTGCTTGCATCCCGCGAGTACGATAACGTCGATTTCTTCATCATCTACCAAGCTATTGTACAAGGCGCCATTGCGGCAGGCATGTTCTTCTCCTATGCTCCCAATATGGCTCAGGCGACTGCTTCTGCCAACCGCATCATTAGTATGCGTCCGTCAAGTACCTTAAGTTCGGCCCGTTACCAGCCGTTGCACCAAACGTCTGAAGGCGGGAGTATTGAGTTCCAGAACGTAAGTTTCACTTACAAGTCTCGAGAAGTGCCCGTGTTGTCGAACCTCAACCTGCAAGTCGCACCAGGCCAATTCGCCGCTCTCGTAGGTGCATCTGGGTGCGGCAAGTCAACTACAATCTCCCTACTGGAGCGCTTCTACGACGCATCAAATGGGCGTATTCTGTTCAATGGACAAGACATCACGTCTCTCGACCCATCAGAGTACCGGAAGCAGATCGGCCTGGTCAGCCAGGATCCTACTCTTTACCAAGGTACAATCCGTGAAAACATTGCCCTATCCGTCGACGCAGCAAGCGACGAGAATATCGAAAAAGCATGCCGCGACGCTCAGATCCACGAATTCATCATCTCTCTTCCTAACGGATACAATCAGCGTCTGGGTCCAAAAGGCATATCGTTATCCGGCGGGCAAAAACAACGTCTTTCGCTCGCCCGTGCTCTACTACGCAAGCCCAAACTTCTTCTCCTCGATGAAGCCACATCCTCGCTAGATTCTGAGTCTGAAAAGTTGGTCCAGGAAGCTATCGAGCGCACCGCCGTAGAAGGCAGCAAAACGGTCATTGCTGTGGCGCATCGCCTTGCTACGATTCAAAAGGCAGATGTCATCTTTGTGTTGGGGAGTGGCAAGGTGCTTGAGAGAGGCGATCATGAGAGTTTGTTGAAGAAGAGGGGAGTTTATTGGCAGATGGTGAGTTTTGGTCCTGATCCATTGATGATGTGTGCTGACTTTTGCCTAGTGCCAAGCTCAGGCGTTGGATGGTTGTTAGTACTTGTTGAGTTTTGCAAAGTTATATAACTACAGCGAAGGCAATACTACTTACTAGTTACATGGCGCTGACGCGTTAGAGTTTTTTTTTGCTCAACTTGATTTTCTTACGCAGTGTGGTGTATGACGATGGAAGCCGTTGTGGTTGTGATAATAGTAAACAAAACATCGGAGCTCTTTAATGTGATTATAAGCAAAAATGGTGTTCAGGCCGGAAATGGCGGCGATCAGAGCACAAATCCAAAACACTACTTACTCGGTTTTAACGATTCCTGTCGCACTCTATGGTGCGTGAGGAAAAATGTGAAGAGGATTGATCTATTATCATCTGCGTCGTCTCATCTGCTTATATAGAGACTATCGGCCAATCCACGGTCAATAAGTAACTATGTGGTATTATTAACAAAGTTCATGCCTCCAACAGATGCTCAGTTGCAACAATTCCATATGGAGAATTTCAAGAAATTGGCCGTGCGTTGCACGGCCTGCCCACCCCAAGGGAAATGCCCACCCCAAGGGCATCTGTACTTAAGCCCAGAAGTACCATGTATAGTCATGTGGTTACTCACTGACTAATAACGTTGTATTTAAACTTGCTTCTATCATGATACACAGGAGAACACACAATACATCTTACATCAAAAAACACGACAAACAGCGAGAAATCAATTTTTGGAATTATCATCACAAAGGACTGGAAATACACCCGCCAATGGCCGCAACGGTCTCTGCAGGCCATCGCGCGTCCCCCCGCGTCGGTTTGGCACCTGCAGAGCCGCTGTTGCGGCCCTGGCTCGCATAGACAGCAGAATTTGCGAGCAAGCTACTTAACATGACACGACCACCAAATACGGCGGCAGCCATCTAGCCACAACACAGCAACGCAAGACGCGATGACGGAGCCCAGACATCCCACCCAGCATCATAGTTACATCACGCACACCCAAAGTCATCGATGGGCTTCCTGGTTAGTCCATCACCGTCCGACAATGTCTGCAACATCCCGCATCGACGAGTCCTCGAGCTGAACGGCATCATCTCTCACGCGAACTACCTCGCAGACACCCAGAATGCTACCATTGGTGCCATTACATACTTACAGATCACCAGACAGCCTCGTCCACTGTCGCCCCACGTGTTGAAGGACTGGTCCCCCTTCGACACACCTGACAAGGTCTGAGGAGGTTCGCATGAGAGCTCTCATGCTTAGTAGGCTTGACGACACGCACGAGCGGAGCATCGCTCCTGTGAAGCTGCGTCATGACAAAATGCTGCTGCCGCTGTGTCCAGTGGCAGGTCACACCACAAGATACGGCCACATGGGAACCTAGTGGACGGCATCATAACACTTGAAGAACATCAGAGATTGGGGAACATACTTTGAGCCCTAGGGGTATTAGGGCAAGCTAGCACACACGACAGCTGAACGCTAGGAGGAGACTGAAGGTATTACAGACGCAAAGCATGAGGCAACTGTGCCTCTACGAGCCTTGAACAACGCTGCACACACGAGGCTTTGAGTACGGCATACACATGGAAACAGTTCGCAGAACACACACATAGGCAAAAGACGTCACTTCTAGAGACGAAATGTACATAGTCGTATATAGAAGCCAGACAATGGCAGGCCTCTGGGGACAGATGGCTCTTTTGAGAGTGAAGTGGGACGTTGTGGACTCACGTCCGCATCGCGTCGGCTGTCTGCCATGCCAGTCATCCGGGCATACTGGATGTGGTCAGTGCATGCAACAGTTCAGCCGATGCAACACCATCAGCCCCACCAAAATATCCACCCATTATTTTCAACGCGTGATATCTCCACCACCATGACAGCCCTCGCAAAAGCGATTGCAGCAATTGATTCGCAAGATGCAGAAGCTCCACTTTCATACCGCGCAGCTGCAAAAAAGTTTGGTGTTGAGCTTACAACATTAACGCGCCGGCACCAAAACAAAACACAGTCACTAGCAGCAGCTGCGCAAAAACGTCAATTACTCACTCCACTACAGGAATCTGAGCTAGTAAAATATATAGAAAAACTATCAGAACGTGGCCTACCACCTTCGCGAGCAATAGTAAAAAATTATGTGGCGGTTATTGCAGAATGGGAGCCCTCCAATAGCTGGGTTACTCGGTTTTTGAAGCGTCACAACGATGTGATATGCATCAGAAAAGCCACGGGTATCGACCGCGACCGTCATCGGGCTGATAATCCAGCCAACTACCAATCGTATTTCGATCTCATCTATGCTAAGCTCAATCAGTATTCGATTGCACCGCATAATATCTATAATATGGACGAGAAGGGCTTCTTACTTGGGCGTATTATGCCATCGAAAAGAATCTTTTCAAAGGAGCTTTGGGAGCAAAAGAAGATTCGCAAGACCCTCCAAGATGGGAGTAGGGATTGGATCACGATTGTTGGGTGTATCTGCGCAGATGGGAGCTCGGTGGATCCTACGATAATCTATGAGGGCACAGATGGCCTTCGCAATGAATGGCTGCGCGACCTTGAAGCTGGAAAACACCAGGTTTTTTGCTGTAATAGCCCATCAGGCTGGAGTAATAATGACCTCGCGCTGGCTTGGGTTGAACAGGTGTTCGATCGGCTCACAAAGGAGAAAGCAAAACGCGACTACAGGCTTCTTCTGCTCGACAGGCACGGCAGTCACCTGGCGCCTGCCTTCATCGATTACTGCGATGCCCACCGGTTACTACTCGCCGTGATACCTCCGCACTGCTCCCACCGTCTTCAACCGCTCGACGTTGCGTTGTTCAAGCCTCTCTCTCGACGAGAATACGGCGTAGAACTCGATGAGCTCTTACGCTGCAATCAAAGCTTGGGTAACTTGCGCAAAAATGACTTTTTACGGTTATCTTGCGCGGCTTTTACATCCGCATTCACCCCTAACAACATTTTAAGTAGTTTTGCTGCTACAGGAGTCCACCCGCGCGACGCCGACGCCGTACTTAAACGCCTCCCTCACTCAAGACCACAACACGATACGGATACAGAAGTTGGAGATGACGGTGATGGTGATATCTCCAGGCAGATGTCCAAATTACTTGACGCTGCAGTACCGGATACGTCGTCAGTTGCGGCAAAACGGGTGTCGCAGGCCCTCCATTCACTGCATGTCAACAACAAGCTTCTACACGTTGAATATGATCAGTTACGCGATGAGCTGGCATAAAAAACGCCCGAAGAAGCACAATAAGGTTTCAGATCTTCAACATCACCAAGAGTACCAGAGCTGAGCTGTGGTGTGGAGCCATAGGGCAGTGAGAGAAGCTAGACAGCGTGACGCCGTAAAACAACAAGACTGCGAGAATCGCGCTTGAGCTATCGCCTGTCGAAAACAGCTTGAAGCTGCTGCCAATTAGAACAGACGCGCGCTAGCTGCCTTAGCCAGCGCCGTGACAGTCATAAAGCTTTTGAAAAAGCCATTTTTTGGATTATCGATTTTTCTCTCCCCCCTCTGTAGTAAGCGGGCCACTCTCACTATACCACGCCTTTGCAACGATAACGCTCGATGTCTCAGCAACGCAACGCGCAAAAAGTCTATAGCGTCCCACGAACAACAATCCGGCGACAACGCACCGGAAAATGCCCTCGGAGCGACTAGGAGAAGAAGTGATTATTTAGTGCATAATAGTTGAGGCTGATTGATGGCTAAGTTGTAGGAGAGACGGCGTGCGAGAAGTGGCTAATAGACTGCTCCAGGGGCGTGGTGGAGAAGAGGTTGACAAGAATCGGAGAATGGGTTTATCTACCATAGTTCTAAGCTGCACACGCATTCAAACCGTGCACATGACTCTTAGTTAGCTAACTACAGATACTTAGCGTTTGTTAAGAACTAGTGTTATATGTGTTTCGTCTAGTCTATACAGCTCTACCGTGGTCCGCACTAAGGTAAGTTGGTCCCACATCAAAAGACTGTTCGTACGACTATCTAGAGAAGATTCGTAATGACGAGCTGTAATGGAAAGCTACAAATGAATCAATTTTAGCGATGTAGATTGGCTGAGCATTAATCTGGGTGAGAGAAGAACTTATAAGAGTTGTCTACGAGAGTATGCATGAGATTTGTCTATCATGATGTCCTCGTTGTTTCGACCGCTGCGATCCTGTTCATCCCTTAGATCGGTGCCTTTATAGGAGAATTCTGATGGCACGTTCATCCCTATCCTCACTGCCATCTTGTCCTTGGTGGGATGACCTATCCCGTGATCGCCACCCTGCAACAACTATCACCTTCTAGCATGGATAGCGATTGGCCCTGAACCGCTCAATCCTGCTCAAGGAGTCAATTCTTTGCGTTATCTGTGATAGTTGCAGTGAGGGTTTTTTTTTAAAGAAAACATTACCCGGCTGTAAAGCTACTAGAAAAAGAGATCCAGAACCTCTTTAGACTAGCAGAGGAGTCAGCCATCCAATTCGATAGCTCAAAAACTGAACTAGTTAACTGGACAAGATCTAGAAAAGATCAAAGTAGAGTTCTTACTCTGCCAAACTAGGAAATAGTACACTCCAAGGAGCTGGTTAGATGGCTAGGTCAACCTTTGATGGAGCTGAAAACCTCCAGCTTCTCCACACAGAAATCCCAACGTACATATACAAATCCATCCCAAGAAATCGATTACAACTAGTGCCAACTCGTGCAGCCCACGCGCTATAGAGCTAGAAGCTGGTAAAGTAGCTAATCTGAACACGTCTCACTCACGAAAACAAAAACACACAGACCATCTAG